GGTAGAAACTTGATACAAACATTTTTATCAGCTAGACTCAACTTTTTGTGAAGAATTAATATTTGAAATTTCCGGAAGAAGATCAATAAAAATTTTATTGAAAATATTAATAAAGAAAAATACTTTTCAGAGATTTGACGGATATTTGTACGATTTCGTCAAATAAATCATCTCAATGGAAGAAAAAATGAAGAAATCCTCTTCCTCAGTCAATGTTGGATATCATATTGATATCTACAGTTCTGATCCTGGTCCTAGAGTTCTGATCCTGGTCCTAGAGTTCTGATCCTGATCCTAGAGTTCTGATCCTGATCCTAGAGTTCTGATCCTGATTCTAGAGTTCTGATCCTGATCCTGAAACTAGAGTTCTGATTTTTGATTTCCGATCAAAATCATGATTTCAGAACCTGGATCCAATATTTTGAATCTGGATCTAGAATTCAGATCCTGAATCCTATGTTCTGAATCTAGGCTTAAACTCAGATCTTGGATCCCAATTTCTGAATATGAATGTTTGATACAGATTCTGTATTCTGAATGTGTATCTATGATAAAATCCTATATTAAGAATCTAAATCTTTGATGACGGACGGAAATATATATATTCTGAGGGAGACGAGAGCTCAACCTGGCTTTCATTTATATATCAATCTTTTTGTATTTAATAGTAAATAAATAATGAGGAGGGTAAAACCACTTTTTTATTATTTAGAAAAATGTAAAGGAACTGAGTTTTTGCCACAAACTCAAATATTCTTATCCCTATATCTTGGCCACCCAATGTCGTAGACCTTAGATATTTCAAACTATTAATTCTGTAAGATCAAATAACCTAAGTTTGAAATATCAAAGGTTTATACCCACTGGTTGCAGAGATATAGAAATTAGAAAATTTGAGGTTGCGGCAAAAACTCAATTCCTTTTTGTTTAAATATACAATATATACACCTACAATATACCTACCATAAACCTACAAAACCTATCATATATCTACCATATACCTACCATAAACCTACCATAAACCTACCATAAACCTACTATAACCCTACCATTTACATACTTTATTTTTACTAGATTTTAAAATCAATTGTTGGAAAATTATAATTTTAATTGAGTTTTATATCTCTTTTATCTTTTTGTTGATTTAATTTTACTTTTACATCAATCATAATTCTTCTGTTCAAAATTAATTAAAATTCCTCAGTAAAATATTTTAATTTTAATTTCTCTCTTAGGTCCAGACTTAGATGAAAGGGTAACCTTCAAACAAAGTTAAAAGAACAAAAAAAAATAATGAACTAATCATACTGGGTGGTCATTTTTACTTTTTTTTTTATTTATTTCTAACCTTTTCTCCCAACATACAGTGTTAAATCGTACATCATAGAACTGAATCATTATTTTAGTGAAGTTAATTTTCTTTGAATTTGAAAATAGGCGCAAAAATATTTTGCCAGCGTTTTTTCAACAGAAAATGCAAGAAAAATATAAATGGAGAGAAGCATTTCTGTTTATTGACGATAGGAAAGTGTTAGGATTAGTCTGGACTAAACCCTACACAGTGATCCAAAGGTTGTAACCTCTCACCCACAAATCTATTAGAATTTTGCCAATTACTTCTTTAAAACTAAAGCTAAAAGCAAATTCTTTAAAGTTCTGAAATGAGCATACATTGGGCTGCAAAGAAAATTGAGTGAGCTAATTTCAAAAGCCAAGGCGTTTCGACACTTTAAAGTCAATTTATTTTTGAAAATTGATGCAACTTTTCATTGAAGTTTGGATCTACTTGCCTAGTGTAGAGTGTAGACTGTAAAATACAATAACTAAGCTAGCTACTGGGATAGGTAAAATAGGACTATGCAAGGTTATAATCATAGAGAATAGAATAGAATATATAGAGAGGAATTTACTAGAAAAGAGTGTAAAACGGCCATTTTGTTGTACTGTTTCCATACTGCAGGTGTACTTCACATATTTATGCTATATAATCTGTTGGGCCCTGGAATATCATTTTATAGAAAATCTAAAATTATTGTTAAAAGAAAACCAAATTATGAAATAGGCTGGTTTCATAATTGACCAATGATCATTTCACATAGACTCTATGCCTTCCACTTTACAAACGATGATTTTCCGTTATAACTATAAATCAAATGATGTTTTTATTCACCTAATTCATTATAAAGTTTATTTAACAGTTTAAAAAATTCGAAATTGAAATGGGTAGTCTAGGGAACATACTGTATTAATGTACTCTACTGCATTCACTGCATAATTTGTGAACATTTACATGATTTGTACACTTTGAACTCCCTTTCAGGCTTAAAGGAGCTGAACAAATTTATACCGAGAGATTCTTTTAATTCCTCTCTCTATTCTCTATGGTTATAATGCAAGGAAAGTTATTTCAGAGGTGTACGCATTTTTTGTACTGCAGTGTACTGTCTCTGGGCGGTAATGTAAACACAAGACGGATGGGGAAGCCTGACATGAGATCCATCTTTCACATAAAAAATCAATGAAATAATCTGTTCATCGGGAACTATTTTGTGAATGATCAAAATTATCAAAATTTAATGCTTTTAACCTTCTCTGATACTAAACGAACACTGATTAACTTTCCTTGCATTACAACCTTGGGCCTATGATAGGCCAGGTACTGTAAAAAGTCTTGCTGCGCCATCAAAGTTGAAAACGAGCCGGCATAGGATAGGGTCGGGCCGGTACAAGCTGTGCATCTCCAAGGCCGGTACAAGGGGTTGGGCCAGTACATGCTGTGCATCTCCAAGGCCGGTACAAGGGGTTGGGCCGGTACATGCTGTGCATCTCCAAGGCCGGTATAAGGGGTCGGACCGGTACATGCTGTGCATCTCCAGTGCCGGTACAAGGGTCGGGCTGGTACATGCTGTGGATCTCCAAGGCCGGTACAAGGGGTCGGGCCAGTACATGCTGTGCATCTCCAAGGCCGGTACAAGGGGCCGGTCCGGTACATGCTGTGCATCTCCAAGGCCGGTACAAGGGGTCGGGTCAGTTCGAATTCAAATTAACCCTAGTCCACTGTGAAACACTATTGGATTGAGAGGATATAAGAGAAGTTGAGTCAAGTTTACTCAATACTAGAGTTTGGTTGGGGTTAGGGCAACAAGAGAAGATTAAATACAAAATACAGAGGAGTTGAACTTAGCAAACAAGGATGGGTATTTGATACTAAGCTGAAAATATATAAATATAGTTCGAAATCAAATCGGAGGAACTAAGCTCGTGCTAAAATCACAAAAAGGAAGTTAAATGGCAATTAACATTCTCCTAATCATTTTAATTAACATTTTAAAAAAATTTGCAACTTTACATTTACAAATACATTTAACATGGATTTTTTATAAAATATTTTTTTAGATTTTTTTATTAAATTTTTGATTGATAATTTTACTTTAGCTTTTTTCATTTTTTTATTTTTTTTCTATTTATTATTCACATCAGGAAAACCCATATTTGAAAACAGGCTCAAAATGTTAATTTTATTTAAACTGAAATAATCAAGAATCCATAGGATGGCCATTTTAGATAATTAAACCCGAGAAGACTGAAAGTTGAAAATAAAAGCTTGTTAAAACGAAAAAAGTAAAAATTTCTTATAAAAAGAAAAAGGGTTTCATTGGGGTCACGGATGGGTCAGTTCGCTAAACAATCCAGAGCTGATTTCAAGAATGTACAGTGTAATGAAATTCTGCGCCATTACATTTTTCGAAGTGTATTATTTTTACAATAAATTTTATAATCCCTTTATCTTTGCAACCTGATGATGTAAACCTTTGCTATTTCTAACTTTAAATATTTTATCTATCAGAATGAATAGTTTGAAATATTAAAGGTCTACGACACCAGGTTGCAAAGATTTAGGAATTAAAAAATCAAATGAATAAATCAGAGTTTGTGGCAAGAAATTAATTCCTTTTGAGAACAAAAATGCTTGTGAACCATACCCCTAAAATTACTCTGTTGTAAGGTCGTCTCTGACAATCTGTACCTCCGTTGAACCCTCCGTCCACTTTCCAAACCAAACATTTCCAAGGCTTCCGCGTAAATATAAACAAAAACCTAATGGAGCTAATAAAACTTAAAGTGCATTAAAAGAACCAATTTAAACATAATTTTCAGTGAATCATTTACAAATAAACAGTGAAATTACTTTAACCAGATAAATATTTATTTCAGAAGAATTAAATTGCTTTAGACTTCAGTTCAAACAACTTTTCGCCGTGCCACAGTTTTCTAGATTGTAAGTTCCGTATATTTAATTCACAACAATATCTTTTAAACCTTTATTTGCCGATTCACAACGGTACCTTTTAAACCTTTATTGCCGATTCACAGCAGGACCTTTAAGCCTTTGTTCAATTCTCAATGATACATATTTCATTAACCAATTGTTAGTTTACAACAATATTCATGTATTCAATTACACCCAACTAGTCTAATATTTATTATTTACATGCATGTACGCCAATAACAATTTGTATTTTGTAGGAAACCTCGTTACTGACATATACATTTTTCAAGAAGAAGTTATCGTCTATGTGTGCATGAAGAAAAGAGTGTTTCCCTAGCCAATTCGCCTTATTTCCCTCTTTCGAGTAATATTCCTTTTTGTTCGGCTCACAATGCTGTTTTCTAAATAGAAGACATAATTTTCTCCTTCCTTTATTTAGAAATTGGTTTTAAACACATTAATTCCAAACCAAAAATAATATCATTGGAAGAATTAAAGATTTACTTTATTATTCACTTTAAGACAATACAAGAAACTAAAAAAATTCAAATACAGCTTTGGACAAAAATTAATTTATAAGCTCAAAAATATTCTGTAAACAACTTTTTAAAAAATTTAATATTGCAAGTAAAAAAAATTTAATAAAGTGAAAAATTTAAATTTACTCTTGTATTTTTCTTAACAATAAATCAAGATTTTGCTTTAAAATGGATTAATAGACTAATATGTAATAGTAATATTAATTAGAAATTAACATGAATTCAAAATAAAAGTAATTTCAAGATATTCTGTGAAAGAAAGGATTAATATTGTTGTAAAAACAAGACGAATTATAAAGAATTTTATAATTGGTTTATATTTACAATGGTAAGCTTCAGATTGAGAGAGCTAATTAACATTAGTTAAAAAAACTGTTTTTAATCTAAATTCTATCATGACGTAAGAACTGTGATGAATTCTTCTTTTCTAAACATTCCTTTGCTAAACATAATTCATAATCTTGAAAAAACAAACAGATTAGCTCCATAAAATTCAAACGCATATGTACATTGTACAATGTACATTGTAATGTACATGCAATGATGACTGTTCATGTATGATGTCTATTTATATATCATTTCTGTCCTCTGTAACTTTATTTTAAGATTATTTTGTCTTCTGTAACTTTATTTCAAGACCATTCCTGTCTTCTGTAACTTTATTTTAAGATTATTCTTGTCTTCTATAACTTTACCAAGATTATTCCTGTCTTCTGTAACTTTATCAAGATTATTCCTGTCTTCTGTAACTTTATCAAGATTGTTCCTGTCTTCTATAACTTTACCAAGATTATTCCTGTCTTCTGTAACTTTATCAAGATTATTCCTGTCTTCTGTAACTTTATTTTAAGATTATTCTTGTCTTCTATAACTTTACAAAGATTATTCCTGTCTTCTGTAACTTTATTAAGATTATTCCTGTCTTCTGTAACTTTATCAAGATTATTCCTGTCTTCTGTAACTTTAGAAATCATTTCCTCAACTTCATCATTGCTCATCCTCATCTCTCCTTTCGTCTAAATAAGATTATATATAGAAACAGCTTATCTCTACTTACATTTTTTATTTATATAAATGATCATAGTTGTTGAACCCAGGCCTATAACCGATTTGTGTTCAATTTTGATTAGGAAACTCGTTGAAACCACGGGATTGTACTTATCTTGCAGTTTAGAAAAGTTGAGTGGGTTTTGTTTTATGGAGAACTTTTAGTTGCCAGCCAACGCTGGGTTCCCTGTTTAGTGGAATGTTTTTATTTGTTTCAAATTTCTTAGTTGAGTTGGACGACTTGTAAACATTTCTAAGAAAACCTTAGTTCCAAAGCAAGTCTTTTCAAACGTTAAAAGTATTTCATATTAAATTCTAAAAAGTTTGAAAGTGTAAAAGAGTAAAGTTAATTCTAAACTATTACTAGATTAAAGTTGAATATAGTTTGAAAGTGTAGAAGAGCAAAGTTAATTCTAAACTATTACTAGATTAAAGTTGAATATAGTTTGAAAGTGTAGAAGAGTAAAGTGAATTCTAAACTATTACTAGATTAAAGTTGAATATAGTTTGAAAGTGTAGAAGAGTAAAGTTAATTCTAAACTATTACTAGATTAAAGTTGAATATAGTTTGAAAGTGTAAAAGAGTAAAGTTAATTCTAAACTATTACTAGATTAAAGTTGAATATAGTTTGAAAGTGTATAAGAGTAAAGTGAATTCTAAACTATTACTTGATTAAAGTTGAATATAGTTTGAAAGTGTAGAAGAGTAAAGTTAATTCTAAACTATTACTAGATTAAAGTTGAATATAGTTGAAAGTGTAGAAGAGCAAAGTGAATTCTAAACTATTACTAGATTAAAGTTGAATATAGTTTGAAAGTGTAGAAGAGCAAAGTGAATTCTAAACTGTAACTAGATTAAAGTTGAATATAGTTTGAAAGTGTAAAAGAGTAAAGTGAATTCTAAACTATAGTTTGAAAGTGTAGAAGAGTAAAGTGAGATGAATTCTAGACAATTACTTGATTTCCCCTGAGAGTAAAGTCTAATGTACTAACTACAGAAGATCTATCGGATGACAGAATTTATTTTACTTCAGTAGACACAATACTTTTTTACAGTATTCTCATATTTTATTTTGTTGGAAAACATAATTTTTAGCCCAGACTTTTAGTTCAAGTGGTTTCAGCTCAGAGACTCATATAGGGTCCGTAGCACGCACCTCCTTCAGTAAAAGTAAATTCAACCTAAAGTCTGAACGTGTGAACCTTGTTGCACCGGCTAGTTCTAATGAGTGTCTGCTTTATCTTTAAAGCTTTTGGTCGATCAAGTATGAATTAGATTAGAATGTTGATCATTTTGAAAACTGATTATTTTCAATTGGCGTTACTCTTCGCATTTCTACTGCAAGAAAATCATGAAAAAATATCAAAATCAAACACTACGATGTCGTCAACATTAATCAGATAAATATTTCATGAAAATACAGAAATATTTGAAATTCTCAATTTTAAATGTCCCAACCTTTATTTATAAAGTCAAAAGAATATTTGCATTAGTAAATCTTTAAAATTTTAAAACCGTTTAAATACCTCTAAAGTTAAAATGTTTTTATTAAAAAAACGGAAACCAGACAGCTATAGTCGAGAAAATGTTAGTTATTCGTTTGAACAAAAGCAATAAACAGGTGAATATTTCTATAAAGAATATATATATATATATATATACATTTATATATATAAATATACATATATATATATATATNAGGTAGACCTTTATCGGAAAATTTTAGGTTGATTAGGTAGACTTTTATCGGAAAATTTTAGGTTGATTATGTAGACTTTTATCGGAAAATTTTAGGTTGATTAGGTAGACTTTTATCGGAAAATTTTAGGTTGATTAGGTAGACTTTTATCGGAAAAGCTTTATTTCCAGACAAAGCTTCCCAAGCTAGTATTAAGTAAAACTGAGATATGTGCTTAGGCACAATGAGGCAAGTATAATTGTGAAATACCAAGACCAAGAAATATATAGATCAGGAACTGCTATATTTCATGCGTCAAAGCTGTGTACTGCAGTGGGAGGAGATTTAAAACAAAGAATTCAGGGGCAACGCATCATTTTTGAGCGAAAAGGGCCCAAGGGATGGAATAAGAATATATTGCTATTGTATTTTTCATATTGGCCAAAAAGCCAAAAATTATATGTATTTGCTCTAAGTTGATATATTAACTTGTTTTTTGTTGGACTGTAATATCTCATTAGAGCTGTAGTCCTTTCCCCTCAACTTCTAGACTATATTTAAGCAATCTATTGTGTATTTGATGCTATTATAACACAAGTTATTTTACAGGTAGTTAAAAATCAACTTATAATGTAAAATTGGTAAATGCGTGTAAACTTCACAACTGCTGTGTTTTATATTTATTGGACTTTTTAAAACAACAAAATAGTGTCTAAGAGTCGTCTTTGAATTCCATAGTTTTGTGTCTCACTGTAAGTGTATGGTATGAATGTAAGTCATTTTACTGTATTTTACAGTGATATTTCTGTATTTTGTTTACCGTAAGAAGTCTAACAATGTCGTATTTCTCGAGTTTCCCCTCGCTATTCTCAATCATTCTGAAATAAATATCTAGAGATAAAGTAGTCAGAGGCGTATTCGAGAGGGGGGGGGGCTATGGGGGCTCAGCCCCCTCCCCCCATGAACACTGAAATAACTTAATCTTTGCATTATAACCTTGGTTATATCCATGTTAATCTCTTTTAAATCGAATATGTATGGATAGTTCATATACAGGGTTACTCACAAAGAATGAGACTACAGAGACGATTGTACGAACGTTATAAGATCTGTTTCCTTATATTCACGACTCCCTGCAACTGCAAACTTGTTTCTTTCTTTGCCAAATCAGTATATAAGCCATTAGATTACTATAAGCTCAGGCCGAATACTTCATTTAACCTTGGAATCGTCACATTTTCAGAGTTTTAGGTCGTCTTTACAGTATCTTTCTTTGTGGGTAACACTATACGTATACCTTACCTGAATGCTGTTCTAAGTCTGGATTCTCTATCATCAATCGACTGCATTTGCCTGGAATTAAACATACAAATATAAAATTTTGAAATTATAATTTAAACTTTTCTAATCAAGACGCACCAACACCCTGAGTGACTAAACGGTGTTGAAAAAACACTCCACACTTTTTTCTCGAAGGTTTAATTATTACGAGCATAATGAAATTAATATCACAATGTCTCTAGGATGTCAAAAGACAAGACGTGGCTAAAGAAATATAGGATTTGGTCAACCCTACTCTGATCACTTTAATTATATTAACAATTAAAAAATATCTTAATGTGATAAGTTATTAAATTTTTTAAAGTGTCTTTTGTCCCCAATATTAATTAAAAAAGAAAACGAGATTTTGCCTCAAACTCCATATTTTAATCCCTTTATCTTTACAACCTGATGGTGTAACCCTTCGATATTTCCAACCTGGACTATTAGATCTAACAAGAATTCATAGTTTGAAAAAGTTTTATTAAATTAGAGTTTGTGGCAAAGATTCAATTCCTTTGTAAACGGGTAACAATTTAGGTTCGTACTAATATATTAACCTGAGAATTTTTGAGTTCATGATTTTCAAGAATTCATTGAATTCTATTTCTCCGGATCCGTCCTCGTCGATCTCTACTGTTAGACGCCGAACCTCCTCCTCGGTAGGATTCAATCTCAAAAAGTAAATAGACTGTTCCTCATTTAAAACAAAGAGTTAAATTCCTGATTCACAACGGTGTCATTTAAACCTTTATTAGAGCTAAAATTATGATAATATTCATGGTTTTCTAACTGAAAATTTGAAATTTGCAATGGTAGGGTCTGTATATATAAAGTGATTTACGGATTTATTTTGATTTTGGTGATTAATCTTTCTTATAAAGCTTGTATTGGCGCACTTTTATGTTAAATCGTTAAATTCAAATAAAACTTTTTCTTAAAATCTAAAATCGGATTAACTTGTCTTAATCTCGGTTGAAGATGACTCACCCTAGAACTCTCACCAGGTTACCCAATTCCTCGGAGTCAATTGAACCTCCATTATCAACATCAAACCTTTAAACATACCTTGGAGTCAATTGAACCTCCATTATCAACATCAAACCTTTAAACATACTTTGGAGTCAATTGTACCTCCATTATCAACATAAAAACTTTAAACATACCTTGGAGTTAATTGAACCTCCAGTATCAACATCAAACCTTTAAACATTCCTTGGAGTTAATTAACTTCCAGTATCAACATCAAACCTTTAAACATTCCTTGGAGTTAATTGAACCTCCCTTATCAACATCAAACCTTTAAACATTCCTTGGAGTTAATTGAAACTCCATTATCAACATCAAACCTTTAAACATTCCTTGGAGTTAATTGAACCTCCATTATCAACATCAAACCTTTAAACATTCCTTGGAGTTAATTGCAACTCCATTATCAACATAAAACCTTTAAACATTCCTTGGAGTTAAAACCTTTAAACATTCCTTGGAGTTAATTGAAACTCCATTTTCAATATCTAAATATTTTAGAGTTTTTGCCACAAACTGAAAAGTTTCTAATCCTGGTGGTTTTATGCTTTCAAACTGAGACTTTTTGACGTGATAGAATTCTAGTTTGAAATATCAAAGATCTACGACATCGGGGTGAAAAGATATGGATAAAAAATCAGAGCTTGTGGCAAAATCTCAGTTCCTACAGAGCTAACGGTAATAATCAAGTTTATCTACCAAGAATATGTAATTTGTCCAGAACGCATTTTGTGTGTATATTTTTTGCTTGATTTATGACTGGTAAATATTGATGTAAATATTGTGATCAATGGTAAAGTTTTAAAGACTTTTGCAGAAATATAAAATAATTGAAATATTTCAACATCAACCTCTATATCTATTATACCCTTAATATTTGAAAAAATTACGATGTTTATTAGTTGCTACCTCTTGAAAGTTGATTTGTACTGTTTTATTTCTTCAGATGTAAGACCCTCCTTTTCTTTTCTAGTTTTCAGAACATCAACTAAACAAAATTTTAATTTTTCTATAAATATATATACAGAGTTACCCACACAGGAGGAGACTGTAAAGACGACCTGAAACTCTTTCAAATCTGACGATTCCAAGGTCAGGTTAAGTCTTCTGATTAGAATATAATCTTTTTTTGCTTATGCAATGATTATGCAAAGAAAGAAACAAATTGCAGGGAATCATAAATATTAGAAAACAGACAGTATAAATTATGTACAGTCGTCTCTGAAGTCTCATCCTTTGTGGGTAGCCCAGTACTTTGCTTTTTTGTATCCAATAAACGTCAAAACGGTTGAACTGATCGGTTTTAAATTTTTTGTTGCCGAAGTTATGTCGAAAATGTTAAAGGAAGTGAACACTCGCCTTTATGCTTTATTTTAAAGACTTTATATTTTTGCTACCTGATGGAGTAAACCTTGGATATTTCAAACTTAGACTATTTATAAACCTTGGATTTGTCAAACTTTGACTATTTATAAACCTTGGATTTGTCAAACTTTGACTATTCATAAACCTTGGATATTTCAAACTTTGACTATTTATAAACCTTGGATTTGTCAAACTTTGACTATTCATAAACCTTGGATATTTCAAACTTTGACTATTTATAAACCTCGGATATTTCAAACTTTGACTATTTATAAACCTTGGATATTTCAAACTTTGACAATTTGATGTAGCAAAATTTATTGAAATATCAAACAGACTGCAAAGATATCAAGTTTGGACAAGTAACTATTTCCTTTGGTATCTTTTTAAAAATGAACCAACTTGGAGTTGTTTTAGCCATTTGTTGACGAAACATGGCCTCAAAACTGGAAAATCCTCGCAGAGCCATATTTCAATAACAGTCTGAAATAATGAAGGTGAGGCCACATTATAGCTCCAGCGGGGTTACATTTGTTGCATAACACGCACTGGGTCAACTACACACCTGGTACACCAGACGGGCAGGTACAAAAACTACACTAGGAAACCCCAAATAAAATGTACGCAAATTGAGTGCCGTACTCCGAAAGGTTGCAAGCTCCAAGGTTATAATGCAAGGAAAGTTATTTCGGAGGTGTAAATATCTTCTGTACTGCAGTGTACTGTCTCTGAACGGTAATGTAATCTTTCACATAAAAAATAAATGAAATATTCTGGTTCTAGTAAACTATTATGTGAATTATCAAAATTATCAAAATTTAATGCTTTTCGCCGCCTCGGATACTAAACGAACACTGATGCATCTATTTTTGTTTACAAATTCCGCCCAGAGAGAACTGGTTTCAATATGTATGCAGAGTATACGCAACTGCAATTAACTTTCCTTGCATTACAACTTTGGTAAGCTCTAAGTAACGCCAGTCATTTTATATGGGTGTAATAAACCAAGATATTGTTTAAAGTAATAAACCTCAAATCTATTTTTATATTCTTTCAGAAAAAAAGACATTTTTTAGCAAACCCTGTTCAAACAGACAAAGTGAAGTTGAACAACCCCTGAACGAAAATAAAATGAACAAAGTGTAGGAATAGTTCACTTTCCGTCCTCCATTTTTTTCGTGGAATGAGAATAAAACTGTGTTTAGTTTACTGGTTTGCAAAATAATATGTTTCTGATTTTAGAAATTGTTTTGAACTAGTTTCTGGTGCAGTGACGAAAGTAAAACTAAACTTGAAGAATTTCTAAAAAGCCAGCTCTACCATAATATTAATTCTGCAATAAACATGAATTCAATATAAATATACAGGGTTTACCAAAAAGAATGAGAAGGAAAAATCTTTAAATATGACATTTCCAGGGTTATATGTTTAAAGTCCCCTTCCCTTTTTACTTGTTGGTCAAAGAAAGAAACAAATAAACAGTAAAGCATGAATCCTAAATATTAGGAAACTGACATATATTAATTTAGTAAAGTCGTCTCTGAAGTCTCATGCTTTTTAGGTAGCCCTGCATAAGCCAGAGCTAAACCTCGACTAACCAAAAACTAAACCTTAACTTAACCAAAATAAAATCTTTAAAAAAACATGACTGAACAAAATCAATGTAACATGAATCAATCTTAAAAAGACCAATGCTTTTTTATTTTATTCTTATTTTCTTTAAAGCTGTAAGGGAACCCAATATGGAACCCCCAGACTCCCTTCAGGGTATTACACACCACCGTGCAGATAGCGGCCTGGAAGGAACCCAATGTGGAACCCCCAGACTTCCTTTAGGGCATTACACACCACCGTGGAGTCCAATCAGGACAAGGAGCACAAACTCCAAAGTCCCTGTGAAGTATAAACCATGAGCCTATAAACTAAACTCCAAAGTCCTTATAAAGTATAAACTGAGCCAATAAACTAAACTCCAAAGTCCATATAAAGTATAAACTGAGCCTATAAACTAAACTCCAAAGTTCTTATAAAGTATAAACTGAGCCAATAAACTAAACTCCAAAGTCCCTATAAAGTATAAACTGAGCCAATAAACTAAACTCCTAAGACCCTATAAAGTATAAACTGAGCCAATAAACTAAACTCCTAAGACCCTATAAAGTATAAACTGAGCCTATAAGCTAAACTCCAAAGTTCTTATAAAGTATAAGCTTGAGCCAATAAACTAAACTCCAAAGTCCCTATAAAGTATAATCTGAGCCAATAAACTTAAACTAATATAAAAACAAATCCAATCAAATAAATCGCTTTCAATAATCCAAATCATCATAAACTAAATTGAATAAGGTAAACATGAATTTTAAACCGGTTCTTCAATTAAACAAAATATCTAGACAACTCTATAAACAACACACAGATTCAACAGTTCTGGCCTTATTCTTATCTCGACCAATATATAGACAAATATCTCAACAAATATCTTGATAAATTTGTGGACAAATATATAGACAAACATAGTTATAAATATATAGTCAAATATCTAGACAAAAATATAAACGAATATATAAACAAATATCTTGAGAAATATATAGACAAATATAAAGACAAACTTGACAAATATCTCGAGAAATATAAAGACAAATATATCGGCAAATATATAGACAAACATATAAACAAATATCTTGACAAATATAAACAAATATCCATAGATAAATAAATAAACATAGATAGCTTATGTAAGCAAAATCACCAAGAATTGTACAGTCCGCGAACTAATACTTCTAGGGGTCAAAGTGTACTTCAATGATAAGCGGGGTGGTTTGGTGTTTTAATGGATTCCATAATAGAGTATAAAATAATTCCGGGAATGGAACTATTTGAACAACAATATTTCACTGAGCAATATATCACATTGACGAGAACTGAAGAAGGACATGAGAAGGACTAAACTAACTTAAATTTCTCTCTACAGAACTCATGTACACCACAAATACTCAATGACATAAGAACAGCCAATGTTCACAACAGACCTAGTTAATCTATATAATAGGAATATCTTTAAAAAATCTCTGTACATTTACATCTTTCAAGATGAAAAATGCCGTCTTATGTCGTTTCAAATATTTTGACAAATATCTAGACAAATATATGGACAAATATGTAGACAAATAAATTGACATATATATAAACAAATATATTGACAAATATTTAGACAAATATCTTGATAGATATTAAGAAAAATGTATGGACACATATATAAAACAATATTTAGACAAATATATAGACAAATATATAAACATATATAAAAAATATATAAACAAATATATAGAAAAGTATATAAAAAATATCTTGACAGATATTTAGAAAAATATACAGACAAGAATCTTGACAGAAGTCTTGACAAATATCTTTAAAATATATAGACAAATATATAGACAAGTATAGAGAAATATATAGACAAATATATGGACAAATATATAGACAAATATATAGACAAATATAGAGAAATATATAGAGAAATATATAGACAAATATATAGACAAATATAGAGAAATATATAGAGAAATATATAGGCAAATATTTAGACAAATATATAGACAAATATATAGACAAATATTTTGATAAATATATAGACAAATATATAGACAAATATAAAGTCAAATATATAGACAAATATAAAGACAAATATATTTACAAATATTTAGACAAATATATAGACAAATATCTAGATAAATATCTGGATAAATATATAGATAAATATAAAGACAAATATATAGTCAAATATATAGACAAATATATATACAAATATTTAGACAAATATATAGACAAATATATAAACAAATATATAGTCAAATATAAAGACATATATATAGACAAATATATAGACAAGAATCTAGATAAATATCTTGACAAATATCTTGACAAATATATAAAAAAAATATTTAGACAAATTTATAAACAAATATATTGACAAATATTTAAACAAATATCTTGACAAATATAAAGACAAATATCTTGAAAAATATCTTGACAAATATATAGACACATATCTTGACAAATATATAAACAAATATCTTGACAAATATATAGACAAATATCTTGACAAATATATAAACAAAAAAATCCAAAGTTCTTNGACAAGAATCTAGATAAATATCTTAACAAATATCTTGACAAATATATAAAAAAATATCTTGACAAATATATAAACATATATTTTGACAAATATATAAACAAATATCTTGACAAATATATAAATAAATATCTCGACAAATATATAAATAAATATCTTGACAAACATATAAACAAATATCTTGACAATTTTATAAAAAAATATCTTGACAAATATATAAACAAATATCTTGACAAATATATAAACAAATATCTTGACAAATTTATAAACAAATATCTTGACAAATATATAAATAAATATCTTGACAAATATATAAACAAATATCTTGACACTTCTAGGTGTATAACGGTTTCAACACTTGTAGGCGGCTTGAAGGCCTACAGGGGTTATGACTCTATGAGACGTCTACTCTAGGTTGGTTTCAACACTTCTGGACCACAACTTTAGACTTACTCTAGAATCGAAGAAGCTGCGGAAAATGTTAATTTGTTAAAGGAGTTGAGTTTGGGCCACACATCATTATCTAATCATTATCTTTGCAACCCATGTGTCGTATCCGTATACATTAGATATTTCAAACAATGAATTCTGTGGGCTCAATTAGTCTAAGTTTGAAATATCAAATATTTAATGGAAAATTTGAGTTTGTGGCAAAGGCAAAGAATAAGTTATCTAACATAGTTTCTTCAAGGTGTATAAGTCCATAAGAAGAATTTGAATCTTCTTTGTTGAGCCTATAACACCAATGTAAGATTGAACCTAAAGAGCAGATGGTTTGCCGGTAAACAAGCAAATATTTGAGATTTTTACAGGAGGATTGGTATAAAGAAAATATTATAAGTGTGGATGTATGTTACATATTGTAAACCCCTGACCATCCCCCCCCCCTCTTCATTCAGCCTAAGGAACTCAGATAAGAAACTTCCAAAGTAGAAACGCCTTAGGCATATTTCTAGGCACTTTAACTCAACCCTCGTTCTGATAGATAGATAGCTGAGCATAGGGGTTCATAGATAGATAGATACGGATGGAGAGAGAGATCGGTTGGTGCGCTGAGAATTCCTATGGTTGGGCCGGGTCATCATCCTGCAGGGTTCAGACCGGTTCCTCTTCAGTCCCAGCCAGTAGCAGGAAACCTGGGTTCAGGGTGGGAGCAGGTATACCAAATCTTACTCCATAAATAAACCATCCAAACCTCGGAATACTTGAATAAACCCAACCTCAGATGTATTAACTTTCAATACGTTGTACAGGAATATTTTAACATGAGTTAAGTGAACTATAGGTAAAAGTGAAACTGCAGTGTAATTGTTATGAACCACTAAGCTTGGTTTTGATTCTGAATGTTACAGTGAGATATTTATTAAGATTTAATAAGCTCCGTATTCTACAGGTGGGATACGCTCGAGTTATTCAGAACTAGGACATAATTATCATTCGTGTTTACATCGAAAGTTAAGAACTCTATCGTGAATTTTAACCTTCGAATCAGCGCCCTACTCAAAACAAGGAAAATTTGCGTCAACTGGGTCTTTCAAATAATTTTCTTATTCAAAATGACAATGACGCATTGAAGTTGGATAATAGATTTTTTTTGAAAACCTGCCAAGCCGGAATTGGATCAAAACTGGCTAAATCCGAATTAGGAAAATAAACATTTAAACACTTATTATCAGTTACTTAGATATAATTAGTTTTTTTTTTGAGAAAATTGAATCCTATTTTTTTTTTGGGGGGGGATGTTAGTATTGAAATAAATTAGAACAATATTTTTTTATCATTTACATCTTATTCAGTACTACGAGAAATGTTTTTTTTGGTGGGGGTGGGGGAAATGTTATAAGAGATCCATATTTAAAAAAATTCAAAAATAGCAAAAATTTCTGCAGTGAATTAAATAAAATTGTTTCACATGAATATAATTTTAAGCCCTGATATGATTTCTTTAAATCCTCAATTTTACATGAAAAAGATTAGGGGAGGATATACTTTTTCTAACAGTTTCGACACATTCTAACATAGAGATATTTGATTCTAAAACCTAATGAAGTTTACTTTGGTTTCAAAAAAAACTTTTGTATTATATGATTAACAGTTTAAAATATGCTTAGTTCACAAACATTTGTGCCTAATATTTTATCATCTATATAAAGTAAATAGTAATATAACAAGACAAAAAATTGTAAATATACCTTAAAAGCAGCACTAAAAATAAACTATTATAGATTCTAGTACAAGAGATGGCAACGTAGAATTTGTACACTCTCAGTGCAGATGTATTCTTACGTCAAAAGTGTCAAGTATTTATGTGTCCGAAAAAATGATTAATAATAGTAATAGTTAAGTGCCTATCTTACAGTGAAATAAGTGCAAGTTTGTGTTCTTTATTTTCTGTTTTCTACTAATGGGAGAACATGCTGTTTTCCTTGTTATATTTGACACTTGTGACGTCATGCAGAACTGGTCCATGATCTATTTGAAAAAACAATAAAAATAAAAATGTGGTTTATAGAGACGGCATTAAGACTCAATTTAATGATTTTAGATGGTTAAATAAACATGAAACACAGCAAATGTGCAATGTTCACAGACCCATTTCACAATTATGAAGTTGACTTTAAAGCTTATGCCAAACTGCTTTCGTTATTGCACCTAAGATCGCTTAAATGTCGTCTTCTAGTCCATAGTACCACCGTAAAATTCAATCTCTTTCCCTATCCAGCTGAAACAGCATTCACAAATCTATTTAATTCCTTGTTTATGTTTATGTAGAGAAATGAGGAAATAGAAAATTGTTTTTGTAACAGTATAGATTTTATATCATCCAGTCCAGATGCTAACATATCCCATTTTACTAACTCAAGTTGACCCCTATACCCCCCCCCCCCTTCAAACTCTGGCTTCCTGTCTGTCCATCCAGTAGTAGGGTTAAACAAAGACCCCATGGTTAATAAACGGATGTCAGGGTACATATGGTTAACGACCCCCCCCCCATCCTACACTTTCAATATTTAACCCTTCTCTCCCATTTCCTGTCCTGGGTTCAGACAACCCTATTCCTACTCAGTTACAAATCAATTAGATCCACGTCAAAATTAAGTAAAATACGCGTAAGATTCAAATCTTATGTGTTTTCAATCATAACTTCTCTTGATGCAGATCTATTGAGTAGGACATTTATTTTATTTCTAATATGTGACGGGATAAATTATCTCTTCTCATACTTGTGCGCCTAAAATCAAAATCAGATGTTCTACGAGTCCTGCCAATAATTTGACCTGTCTATTTCAGTATGGACTGACCTATGCATAAGTTTAAAGTTATTATCTACTTTGAACTTAACGTCTTAACTGATTTCCTACATATTCACGAATTTAAAGTCCAACCTTTCCATGAATTTTAAAGTTCCAACCTATCATTAATTTAAAATTCCAACCTATCTATGAATTTAAAGTTCCAACCTATGAATTTAAAGTTCCAACCTATGAATTTAAAGTTCTAACCTATCCATGAATTTAAAATTCCAACCTATCCATGAATTTAAAGTTCCAAGCTATGAATTTAAAGTTCTAACCTATCCATGAATTTAGAGTTCCAACATATTCATAAATTTAAAGTCCAACCTATCCATGAATTTAAAGTTCCAACCTATCCATGAATTTAAAGTTCCAACCTATCCATGAATTTAAAGTTTATCCATGAATTTAAAGTTCCAACCTATCCATAAATTTAAAGTTCCTTTAAAGTTCCAACCTATCCATAAATTTAAAGTTACAACATATCCATGAATTTAAAGTTACAACCTATCCATGAATTTTAAGTTTTAAATTTCCAAGCTTTTCGTTAAAAAAGTATTTTGTGTGAAAGATGTTATCACCATAATTTCAATCTAAAATATACAATGGTATCTTGAAGCCGTTATGCGTCCCTATAAAAAGAGTTAAAGGAATCCATTGTGAATCATGTACAATTCAAGGGTCGTTCAAATTATGGTCCAAAATTCCTTTAAAAACTAATTCCCTTATTTATTTGCAACCTGTATACCTTAGATAACTCAACTATTAACTCTGTTGGATTGAATATTCCAAGTTTGAAATATCAAAGGTTTAAAACATAAGGTTGCAAATACATAGGGATCATTTTAACATGTAAGTGAGGAATTTAATTTTTAAAAGGGGTTAAATTAAGTTTCATTTATTAAGAGTTTCCAACTCTGAACTAATAGCTGTATCCTTGATAAACCAGGAGTGGGAGGATTGAAACCGAACCCTATCGATCTCCAGGTGCTGGGTGAGCTGGGTGGGGTTAAGCTAATAAATAGTATAGGAAAGCATGATTTGAGTTCTGTCTACATGACTCATCTAGAAATAATAACCTAAACATACATTACACACACTGCACACCGTTTCCTGGTTACGGTTACATACGCAAACAATGTGAGATTGGAAGAAAGATATGCAAAAATTGTAAGATAGAGGGAAAGATAGATTACGATTTTATCTACAAGATTGGAATTCCTTTGAATTGACGTAACTGACGCAACATTACAGGAATCCCTGCATTGGCAACTGCATTGAGGATGGAGATGGAAAAAGCTGAAAACTGAACCAGGAAAATATCATTAATTTTTTTGAGAACTGAGAGCACACGAAAACATTGCTCCGATTTTTCCCAATCAAAAGTTTGTTTGTTTTGGTTATTTATTACTCCTTACTTGCTTCTTGTTTTGGTTATTTATTACTCCTTACTTGCTTCTTGTTTTGGTTATTTATTACTCCTTACTTGCTTCTTGTTTTGGGGATCAATCTGTAAATTATACTTCTTGGATTCTCATCAGTCATCATAGTTCTCTCTATTCTTAACTTTACTCTGCTCTCTGTCTGCTACATTTTTCACTTTAATTTTTACTTCCGTTGTATTCTACCTACTTTTTCCTTCCGTTGTATTCTACCTTCCCTTTTCCTTCCGTTGTATTCTTCCTTTCCTTTTCCTTCCGTTGTACTCTACCTTCCTTTAACCTTTCGTTGTACTCCAGCTTTCTTTTTACTTCCATTGTACTCTACCTTCCTTTTTCTTTATGTTGTACTCTAATTTTCTTTTTAATTCCGTTGTATTCTACCTTCCTTTTTCCTTCCGTTGTATTCTTTCTTTCCTTTTCCTTCCGTTGTATTCTACCTTCCTTTGTCTTCCGTTGTACCCTACCTTCCTTTTTCCTTCCGTTTTACTCTTACTTCCTTTTTACTTCCGTTGTATTCTGCCTTTTCGTTTTCCTTACGTTGTACTCTACACACCTCCCACCTTCCTTTTTCCTTACGTTGTACTCTAACTTACTTCCCACGTTTCCCCCGTATTACACCTATTCCTTTCCACTGCACTTTACCTTTTCTTTCCACATTTTTTTCCTGCTGTATTCTACCTTCTTTTTTTCCTGCTGTATTCTACCTTCTTTTTTTTTCCTTTTTGTATATTCTACGAATTCTTCCTTCGTTTTCCATTTCTGTGTATTCTTTCTTCATCTTAACCTTATTTTTTTTACTTTTGTATTCTTTCTTCCTTTTTCCTTCCTATTCTTTGTATTTTCTGAGCCCTAACCCCATCCCTTCTCTTATTCATTCCTCACACCGACGCCTACGCAATTCCATTTAAAGCAACAATTCATCTTGTACACAAAAACTGAAATGCATCCTGCATTCTTTATCCTTAAACATTCATATTTTGATGTTTATTTTGGCAGTGTTTGTAACCCGACAACTGTAAGCAGCCATCATGGGGTTTAAATCTATCTGGAGGTCGCTGAAGATGGGTTCCCAACAGGAAAGTGACAAATCAATCAATCAAATATGCATCCTTGCTTCACTATTGTACGTAGTTGTATTACTGCAGAATGTGCCAACTTCCAGAATGAATTGCATCATTAAACTCTAAGTTTACCCACGTATTTTAACCAGAAATGTACTCCAGGCTTTTTGGTTAAAGGATTTAGATTCAGAATAGGAACTAAAGCATTATTTTACAAATATATTGTATTACCTATTGAGAATTCTTTATCTAAATGTCAAGGAATTTCTGTTTTGTTACATTTATTATTTTACAACATTATACTGCCAGAGCTTGATGTATTTTATGCTCTATATTACAGCATGTGTTTAGCTCAAATACATATGACGCAATTTTCTTAATATCTGAGATTGCACATTTTTAAATCAAGTTTTAAAGGGAGTGACCGGCTATGTAAGGTAGTTGAACTGAGGACGCAGTGTTGTGGAAAACTTCTTTAGGATTCATTCATATTTCACTTTTTAAACGTCTGTAAATCCTGAGTTTGAGCGCAAATTCGACGTTCAAAACTCCTGATTTGGGGGTGGATACGCTTTCAGAATTTTTTTTAAATTATTAATTAACGACGACGTAAAATGTTAAAATATTCTACAATAAACTACAGACGCCATGTTTAGGAACATTTTAGAAAATAAAGATCAATCTTATCATCGAAAATAATTAATCTTGTTCAATTATTAGTTTCTATTATCTCATTATTCTAGTTTCTCGTTATTCACAAAGATGTTCGCAGATTTTCTATAATTCTTATTGAAAAGACGACATTTAAAGAATTTTAAAAAATTTGCGAATACATTCAAAGAAAATTAGAAATTCAATATAATAATGTAAACGAAATAATCGATTTTAGCATTGATTTATTGACAAATTTCTTTTGTGAAATATGTTCCTAGCCATCTAATTAGATTACTGTATAATTTTTACTTTATTTTTCGTTGTCGTAATTTAATAATTTAAAAAAACTAATTCTGAAAGCGTATCCACCCCCAAATCAGGAGTTTTGAACGTCGAATTTGCGCTCAAACTCAGGATTTACAGATCTTTAAAAAGTGAAATATGTCTCAAATGAATCCTAAAGATGTTTTCGACAACACTGCATACTCAGTTCAATTACCTTACATAGCCGGTCACTCCCTTTAAGAATTTTTTTTATAAAGATTGATTTTGATCTCCTTTAGTCGAACCTTACTCGAGTCCCGTCCGTGAGTATAAAGGACGAACCCCTGGAGTGTGTGATCAAGGAACAGAAACGGGACGAACATCTTAAAAATCTTGGCATGAAGCGAAACAAATCGATCCGTAAATCAATCGCGAAAAAGTTGCGACGGAAACGCGACGAACCGGACGGAATTCAGTTAGAGATGGAGAGGAAGGAAACTATAGATACACCCAGAGAACCTCTCCGGGAACCTCCCAGACCTGTTCAGGTTGAGACTAGGACTAGTATTGGCTCTAAGGTTGACGGAGGAACTAGGGTTGAGGTGATCAAGGTTGTGGAGAAGGATAAGAAGGATCTGGTTGGAGATACTCAGCCTCTACCTGGACATATAGAGGCTGAGGTTCCGAGGAAAATGGATAAATTGAGACGGAGCATAAGGAACCGACCATATACAATATAGAATATAGAATATACAATATACAATGCACAATATATATTACACAATATGCAATATATATTATACAATATAGAATATAGAATATACAATATACAATATACAATATATATTATACAATATACAATATATGTACAACATACAAAACACAATGCACAATATACAATATACAATATACAATATATGAATAACATGCAAAATACTATGTACAATATACAATATGCAATATATATTATGCAATATACAATATACAATATATGTATAACATACAAAATACTATGTGCAATATACAATAAGTTCTATAGATTATAACATTTGTATGTTCATCTTTGCTCTAAATTTTAAATTCTTTTGATCTTTAAATTTCAATATTTTATACAAACCTATATGCATTGAACATATAATTAGCATTTATTTGAGAATTTATAAGAAATTGAGACATTGCAAACAATTCTGATATATTTGCAACCCATTGTCATATACCTTAGATATTTCAAACTTTAAATTTTGTTAGATAAAGTAATCTAAGTTAGAAATATCAAAGATTTGCACCATCAGGTTGCAAAGATTTTGGGATTATAAAAAATAATTCCTTTCCATTCCCGTTTGTAGCAAGGATGAAAGATTATTGCAAAGATTGCGTGGTGTTCAACCGCGTAGTTTGTCAAGTTAAATATTCTTAGAACAGGTTTGAGTATCAGGGTGTACTTGGAGAACAGGGTATTTTCCTACGGTTTTCTGGGTTGGGTTGGGTTGGGTTGGGTTAGGTTGGACTCAATTCAGAGAAGTTTGGAAAATCGGGGACATGATTCATTTCTTGGGTTTAGGATGAATACTGTTTTATTTTGCTATTATCATGAATAGGAAAAGTGTGTATTTCTTCGAAGGCTTGAATCACTTTAATAGTTCACTGAACCATTAACTTCTTAATTTTAAAAATCTGTAAAGAACTGGTTATTTTTACAGTCTAATTCTTTAAACAAATTACACTGGATCGACATTTCATAGACGAACAGTTCGTAGAAGAGACATTTCATAGACGAACAGTTCGTAGAATAGACATTTCATTGATGAACAGTTCGTAGAATAGACATTTCATAGACGAACAGTTCGTAGAATAGACATATCATAGATGAACAGTTCGTAGAATAGACATTTCATAGACGAACAGTTCGTAGAATAGGCATTTCATAGACGAATAGATAGAAATAACATTTCAAAGTACGCGTGAACATTTCATAGATGGACATTTCATAGATGGACATTTCATAGATGGACATTTCATAAATGGACATTTCATAGACAGAAAAAATCTGTTTTCTCATATTGTAAAATTTATAGAAAATAATTTAATTGAAAAATCTGCTTTGTCTAATAACTTTCTAACTGTGAAATGTCCTCTTTATAAAATGTCCGGTCTATAAAATGTCCTATCTAAATAATGTCTCGTCTATGAAACGTTCCAAAACCGTAATTTCGTCGAGATATCCAAGGTTTTGCTTTTATTTATTTATCTTTGATAACGTGTCTCTCCCAAGAGTCCAAATAATGGATTAAGTAATTACAATATATGTATCTTAATTGGGTTATATTTATAGTAGGATTGCCTGAACAGTGAACATATTCTTGTATAAACGACTAACACACTACACAGTGATACAAGGGTTGCAATCCCTCACGCAAAAATCATGAGAATTTTGTCGATTTCTCCTTTAATACTGAAGCTAAAAGCATGTGAGTGCATTTTGTTTCTAAAAATATATATTTCTTGAGTTACACAAAAGTATAAGTGAATTAGTGAGGTGAATACAAATACCCAAGTGTTGTGATACCTCAAAGACGGCCCAGTCTTGAGAATTCATGCCACTTTTCGTTGCTGTCTGGATTTATGTACATAGATCCTAACTGATTATGAAAAGTTACTTCAATTTTCAAGACTGAGTCGGATTTCAAGTTTCGCAACGCATTGGTAACTTATTGATTTTATACTTTTATGTAACCCTAGACATGTACATGTTAGAACTTTAATGCACTTGTTATAGCTTCAGTTTTTAAGAAGTAATTGGCAAAATTTTCATGGATTTTCAATCTTTGAATCATAAAGCCATCTTCGTCAAATATTTAAGTAGAAATAAATTTTGGGAAATCATTACGCATTTTTCTCAGAAAATGCGTCATGTTTAGATTCTTGTGAGTTGTGAAATATTGATAAGAAAATACTAGGGATAAATACTTTATCCTTGAGAAGGGGGGGGGGGTCAAAGCAATTTAAATGCTTGGGTTTAGTTAAAGTAAGGGCCTGTGTGTATGTTTTATGAACTGTAAAGTAAATATTAAACTCGGCAAAAACAACAACAAAGAAATGTAAGCGTACTTTTCTGACTTTGAATACTGTGCACACAATGCACTTTAATATTTAACAATAGTTTACGCAATCATGATAAATATTAGTAATTAACTAGACACTATCTTTTCATATGTTTCCCAGAGAATATACAGGGTGTCCTACATCATATTAGATTATAGTTTATAGCTCGAAATTGAGATTTCAGGGAATAATCAGTAAATTAAAAAAAACGATTCTTTAAAAAAAGTGTTTAAGACATTATAAAAACTTTCTTGTCGAAAATTCCAGGTTTTTTTGCTTAAAAGCTTAAAGATAATCCAATTTGATATGACGCATTTAATAATGATTTTCGTTATTTTAGCTAGAAAGAATAAGTTTAGGGACGCTGGGGGGGGGGGGTATATAATCTAAACTAAACAAATATTTAAATGATTAAACTTAATATGCATATAACCCGTTCTGAAGTTCAATTATTCTTGCAAATTATGTATTACAAAACCAAACCAAATGTCGGGTTACATAATACATATATCCCATACCCCGAGGTGTCGGTAGTGGTAGGGTTTGCAGGATATTTCAAGGGGCTCATTTTATTGTAATAAAACAAAATTTACAGGGTTACCCACAAAATATGAGACGCTAATGGCGACCCAAAACTCTCAAAATTTAACAATCTTAAATAAGTTTGCATTGAATAATCTTTGAATTTCATATTATTATTTATCAAAGAAAGAAACTAGTAAACAGCTGCGTGAAATTACAATTGTAAGCAAAAAGGACTTAAAAAATTCCGTACAGTCGTCTCTGAATTCCCATCCTGTAGTAAATATTGATTGCACAGACCAGGCCCCCTCTGGGCCTGCACCCAAGATTCCAAGGTTTTGTTTACCATCTTAGTTGTTTATAAAAGAAAAATAGTTTTAAACGAATTCAAACATTCAAAATCATCCTTTTCCTTATTCTACTTCCATTTGTTTTATCCTAATTTTTGTAATATCTCATTTTTTTTAACACTTAAATAAATGGGTAAAGAATTGGGGGTTTTGAAAAGAATTGTAAAATCTATATAAAGGTTTTCTTTACTATCGGGGCACTCAGTAAACGCACGAAGGGGCGGAAATATGGTCCATGTATTTATGTAGATAAGGTATGTATATCTATATGACCTAAAGAAGTGTAAGATCTAATGTTGTTTGGACGTGTTTTATGAAGAGTAAAGAATGTGATTCTAATGATAAGCATTTAATACCCACGCTCTCAGTTGGAGATTCATACAAACTATTTGCATTCGTCACAACCTTTCATAGATATTTTACACTTCTTCTTCTTCTTCTCAACCTTTCATAGATATTTTACACTTCTTCTTCTTCTTCTCAACCTTTCATAGATATTTTACACTTCTTCTTCTTCTCAAACTTTCATAGATATTTTACTCTTCTTCTTCTTCTTCTTCTTCTCAACCTTTCATAGATATTTTACACTTCTTCTTCTTCTTCTCAACCTTTCATAGATATTTTACACTTCTTTTTCTTTTTATCTCAACCTTTCATAGATATTTTACACTTCTTCTACTTCTCATCTTAATCTTTCAGTGATATTTTACACTTCTTCTTACTCTTCTTATCTCAACCTTTCATAGTTATTTTACACTTCTTTTTCTTCTTCTTCTCAACCTTTCAAAGATATTTTACACTTCTTCTTCTTCTCAACCTTTCATAGATATTTTACACTTCTTCTTCTTCTCAGCCTTTCATAAATATTTTACATTTCTTCTTCTTCTTCTCAACCTTTCATGGATATTTTACACTTCTTATTCTTCTCAACCTTTTCATAGATATTTTACACTTCCTCTTCTTTATCTTAATCTTTCATAGATATTTTATACTTCTTCTTATTATCTCAGCCTTTGAGATATTTTGCACTTCTCCTTCTTATCTTAACCTTTCATTGATATTTTACACTTCTTCTACTTCTCATCTTAATCTTTCATAGATATTTTTTACTTCTTCTTATTATCTTAACCTTTGAGATATTTTACACTTCTCCTTCTTATCTTAACCTTTCTTAGATATTTTACACTTCTTTTTCTTTTTATCTCAACCTTTCATAGATATTTTACACTTCTTCTACTTCTCATCTTAATCTTTCAGTGATATTATACACTTCTTCTTACTCTTCTTATCTCAACCTTTCATAGTTTTTTTACACTTCTTCTTCTTCTTCTCAACCTTTCATAGATATTTTACACTTCTTCTTCTTCTTAACCTTTCATAAGTATTTTACATTTCTTCTTCTTCTTCTCAACCTTTCATGGATATTTTACACTTCTTCTTCTTCTCAACCTTTTCATAGATATTTTACACTTCTTCTTCTCAACCTTTCATAGATATTTTACACTTCTTCTTCTTCTTCTTCTCAACTTTTCAGAGATATGTTACACTTTTTCTTCTTCTTCTCAACCTTTTCATAGATACTTTACACTTCCTCTTCTTTATCTTAATCTTTCATAGATATTTTATACTTCTTCTTATTATCTCAACCTTTGAGATATTTTGCACTTCTCCTTCTTATCTTAACCTTTCATTGATATTTTACACTTCTTCTACTTCTCATCTTAATCTTTCATAGATATTTTATACTTCTTCTTATTATCTTAACCTTTGAGAGATATTTT